GACTATGACTGATAACAAAAAATGACAGTTAATTTGGTGACTGTTAATCACAGTTTTACTGTGTTTTTCGAAGTAACGAGAATGTTTGAGGGGACAGATGCGGCTGTAGACCAAGAAATATTATGCTAGATAGTTTGGCATTTTAGCATGGAAGAACATCTAAATCAGAAAAAAAATGAGCTGAACAGATATGATTAGAAACACCCCACAGAAAAGGCTATACGAAGATGTATAACGGCAGCTGAAACAATTATCAATTCGTGCTTCATTGTAATGACAATTATGTATGTAATTCGTTTATCGATTGTTGTACAGACATGACCTTTCTTTTCAACATACTCACTGTAGGTTCTAATTTCTTTCTGTGAACGCAGTGCCTTTACTAGACGAGTTATTCTAGCCATTGCACCTATAGAGGCATCCTCTGCCTACCCACCGGACAGGTGCAAAAAGTAAGGAAGATGTCTTTAAAAAAAAAAAAAAAAACTCTTTGATTAACGAAGAGAACTGATAGCACACATCAGAAGGAGACACGCTACATTTTTTGGTCATGTCATGAGAAGGAGAAAACTGAAGTCCATCGCTACAGTAGGAAAGTTGAAGGGGAGGAGAGGCAGAAGAAGACCGAGAGAAAAGATGCTGTACAGTTTGACATGGTGGCATGGAGGATCATCTGTGTCAGAGCTGATTGAAAATACACGAGACAGAAGACTGTGGATAGACATGAACATTAACGAAACACGGCATGGATTTCAAGAAGAAGAAGATATCCGTTGATTTTTGTCACCACATCACAGTCACCATGTGTCATAAATAATCCTGGACTGTTGCATTTTGTAATTTCACGCGATCACAAAAATCGCGGCTCAGATCCATATACTTGTCCAGTTTATTCTGAGCAGAATAAAAATTCTAGTAGACCTTACTAAGCTATATAAAGCACTGAGACCCATTTGGTTTTAAATTACATCTTCTGACATCAGAAGACTTTTCAATACATTTACCTTTAAACTAAAGAATATATGGATAATGTAAATATATCGTTGTTTTATTTCATTTTTTTAAAGAAAAAATTTTTTTTTTCAGAATCACAGACATTTATTTTCCCACATAAGGCTGTAAATTACAACTAAAAGCAAATTTTTATCTTATCTTAAGTTCGAAATAATATATTTTTCATTAAAAAAAAAATGCTGTGTAACTTGTTGTCTTCTATACACGTGATGTGAAATGCAGTAATATTTTACTGAGACAAATCTGCTCTCCGTTCAATTTTGACAAATTCACTTTAGATGTGAAAATGATATTTCTCCCGAATAGTTCGTTGAGATAAGAAACCAGAATTGTCGTAACATTGCTTCAATATTAGGGAAAACCGGCTAAATATTGTCTGGAAATATGCCCTGATACATATCTGTGGGTTTGCCGTGTGGGTTCTGGGTTCCCGTTGTGGGGGTTGGGTGGGTGGGGAGGGGGGGGGGGAGAATAGACTCACTGCCTTTCTTACAAGAATATCGTAAGAATTGACTAATTAGGAGGTTTTCTTTGAAGTCTGAGTAAATCTACCTGAGAGGCAAGGAAACGACTGTCTGCATACAATTAAGTCAGATCTGTAAAACGGATGCACATCCACAACTCAAGTTCTGGAACAATACTAAAGTTCAGAAAGGGGCGAACAACCAGAACTTTCGGCTGGAGTTTACAGCCAGTTAATGCTAAGAAAAAGGAGAATCTATCTTTGTTTTGAATTTGTTATTCTTCAGAATAATTCTGCTTAACATAATAACACATGAGGTTAATACCACCATTGTGTGGATACTCTTTCATTAAAGTATACACTGCTTTAATATATTTTTCTCTGAGGCTTCTTAACTTATGAGGCCCCCGCACATTGTGAGGCCTTAAGATTAGCATATTTAGCTTATACCAGCAGTGGGTTTATGCAGTTAAGACATTCAAGTACTTACTATTTATTTCTCCTTGCATTGGCTTCTGATACTAAAAAGTTGTGGATCACAATCCTCAAACCGCAGTGTCACAATTCTGACATGCAGGTGTTTGAAGCCAGCTGTAGGCGATTTGACAGCTAACTCCGGTACGCTGATTCTAACGAAATTATGATGCATATTAAAAAAACCACAGGCGCCATTATTGCTGGCGTTGTTCTGTTTTTTGTTTTTGTTTTTGTAAAGTCCCACAAAGCAAATGCAACTAACTGTTGCTTTTTCCTTGCGCTTTTCCAGTCATACTAATGTAGAGCTTTGGGAGAGAACTATGCAAGCTCCAGTGGACCAAGAGTTACAGAAACGATGCTGGCATTGGATAGGACACACATTGAAAAAATTGTAGAATAATATAACAATGTCTTTGCACTGGAACCCACAGGGGCATAGGAATAAATGAAGGCCCCCCTCCCCCACACACACACACACACACAAAACCCACTGAGAATGGAGCTAGAGAATGAAGTTAGAAAGATGAATAGGACACGGGGAGAGAGGCTTTCGAAAGCAAAGGATAGAACGACTTGACGTGAGTTTGTTGAGGGCCTATGCTCCATAGGGGGCTAGAAAGGCAGCATTAGAAGAAGAATTTCCACATGTATATTTAAATACGCCTATTATTAGCTTAAGACCCCCCCCCCTCCCCCTCCCCCGCCTTTCCCAGGATGATAATTAGAAAGAATTTAGAAAGAAAATATATAATATCGCACTGGCATCTACTTCCCTTAACAAACTGTCAGAGATATTTAGCAAACACATGGGAAAATCTCCTGACCTCGCCACCCCAGAAAATTAAAGGAAGGCTGCGCCCTTCTACACTCCCAACCCAACAAATCTACCCCCCCCCCTCCCCCAGCCCATTTTCTTTGTTTTCCGCAGCGTGTCTGTTTGGCAGCGAGCACATTGGTCAATGACCGTAGCAGTTGTAATTCTTCCTCTTCTTTTGTCCTATTCTGCCTTTCAGGGTCTGGTTATAAAGAGGCCTCAGGTAAGCGCCTTGGTATGTGCCACGAAAATGCTGGTATTTGCCGTCTCGGTTATTCCATCTAACCATGGCTTGCGGAGTAAAACTTTAGCTCGTCTTCCATTATTTCTAAGCCACTGGATTTCTTGTAGTGCACTATAGGCTCGTAGTCTTGCGACATGTCCAAACCATTTGATCTCTTGTCTCTTGATGTAGTTTAGTACTGGTTTCGTCCCAACTTCTTTCCTGATTTCGTCATTTTAATCCTTTCTCTTCGATTTGTATTTATAATTTGTCGTAAACAATTTATTTCAGTAGTCTAATTTTTCTTTTCTTTCATCGCTAACGTACACGTTTGGCATTGGTAACACAGTCTGCGTAAAACATTATATTGAACAGTGCTCTTTTGATGTCAAGGATAACCTGGTTGTTCTGCAAAATTTGTGGCATCTGTCCAATAATTGTATTTGATTAATTACACCTTTGCACTGTTTCGGCTTCCATTTCTCTAGGCGATGTTACGCTCCCTAGGTACGTGAAGTCGTTTTCTTGTCTGCATTACTGGTTTTCTATGCATGTCTTGATTTGTTGTTCTGTTCTTGCAATGGTTATAACTTGTTTGTTAGGTGTTAATTTTCACGTTTTTCAGCTTTTGCTGCTATGCCGAGGTTATCCAGATATCTCAGCAGCTCTTCCTCTGTGGTTACCTTGAGGACTTGCTCGTGTGCTAAAATAGTTCAGTACCCGTACTGCCCTTTTTCATTTGGCATGCTTTACTGATATGATCTTTATGTGTGATAAATAACAGGGAGCATATGACAAATCCCTTAAGGATTCGGGATGGTTATAGAGGTTCTCTGTGGTTTCGACATTTGATCTAACTATATCTTGGCTTTTATAATATATATATATATATATATATATACACACACACACACACACGTTTACTAGATTCTAACTCTATAGGCCCTTATTAAATAAAGAACCCTTTTAAAAGCTTTTAGGCGTATTGGGCATACAGGACTGAACTTATATTTTATAGACCAATTGGCACTCCGTGTGGGATGTTGTCAGCCGTATCTTTACTTCAAAAAAACTTTACTTGGTACCCATTTAAGACTCCGTCGACCCGAGAACCAAGGCCACCTGAAGGATTTGAAAGCATGAAGACCCTTGTGTTTAACACAGCAGTTTACGTTTGACCTGATCCAGTACTTTTTTCTTGATCTTTGCATGCAAGATATAGCGCGTTGTCATTTTCTATTGGGTTAGTTCCACGAGAGTCTCCCACCGACCGCTCACATACACACTAGCACACTTATGATTGGTCGACCTTCAGTCACCCGACCTTCGCACACTGCTACGGCAATGCCGTTCATATCGCTTGTTGTAACTTTAATCACGCCAGCGCTTTTAACACTACAAAAACATTTTGAAACTGGGTCTAACACACAACCTCCCTAGAGAGTTCGGCAACCTATGTCACAGGCATTTTCTTTCTCGGAAGAAAAACATAAATGCTAGACAAGCCAGAAAAGAAACAACATAGCAGCAACCCGTAACCCCCCCCCCCCCCCCCGGACAGCAGACCAGGCGATAAAATGTGTAAATGGAACGTGACCTAGTTTTTTGAGGGAAACATAAAACAGACCAATTATGAATCGAGTTAATTGAACTGTGAAAAGACCTACAAGAACACCTACCGAAACATTTTAGTGTTGTCGGAACAAACAAACCAATCAAAGGTCGCCATTATAGGATCTCTGATATTTCACTGTCCCCATTCGTCATTGTCTCTCTGTTTCTTTCTGTCTCTGTGTCTCTGTTTCACTGTGTCTCTCTGTCCTCTCTCTTTTGCTCTCTCTCTCTCTCTCTCTCTCTCTCTCTCTCTCTCTCTCTCTGTCTCTCTGTCTCTTTGTCTTTCCCTAGTTGTACATTGTGAAACTGCATTCAAAACTCTTTATCCAATCCAAGTATATTTCACATGATTGCAACAAAATCAAAGCACTGTAGCTTGTATTTCACATTTTCAGGCGTGCTCGACGCTTCAGGCCAGTGGGGATCGCTGATAAAAGTCATCGTGTCCCATTTCATCGTGGCCGTGGGACTTGTGGCCAATTCTCTGACATTTGTAGTCATGAAGAGCCCGAGACTGCGGTACAAGTCATATTCACATTATCTCAGTGCTCTGGCCATATTTGACAGGTATGTTTTGCTTATAACATTTCCCGTGTGGGTTCCGGGGCCTTTTTGTGTGACTGTGTGTGTAGGGAAAGGGGAGGGGGAGGGAAAAGAAAGCATGAAAACAAGCATGTCATTAAAGTCGAAAAATTAGGGGTGTTTCCGTCGAAATCGTAGAGCATCTGCCTGAAAGGCGAAAAACCAACAGTCTGCATATAAATAAGCCAGATGTGTAAAATTGATATGTATTCAAAAATCAAATTCTGGATCAAGTCTAGAGGTGTAGGAACAGCTAAAAACTGTCCTTCTTGAGTTACAGCCGGTGCATACTAAGAATAGCTTTTTAAAAAGAAAATATGAAAACGCACATTCTTGTGTGTTTGTGTATGTGTGTGTGTGTGTGTGTGTGTGTTGTTCGCGCGTGCTGTGATCTTATTACAGAGACTGAAGATGTCACAGGTTTTGAATATTAGGTTTCATTAGGAAATAACATTGGCGACTGCACAAAAAAGTCAGGGGAAAAAAAAAGACTCGCTTTAGCTTCAGCAAAGCTGAGTCTGAACAGCACGGAGAACTGTGGCAAGGACACCTGCAGGCCAGTTAAACATTTTGAGATCATGCATCTTTCTCGTGGCAGCTTATGGATGTGAATCGTGGATTCTTACTCAATAAGTAAAGAAATCAAAATTGAGCTTTTGAACTGAAAATGCTACATTATAATGCGTAGAAACCCATTGATTGAGAAAAAGAAAATTATCGACATCCTGCATGATCTAAGCATCAAAATCTGGCTCATAATCAGCACCCTGTACTGAAAAGTAAAGGTCCCTTCACAACGCCTTTAGGTTTATAGGGCTAGACCTATATTTTTATAAACTAATCGGCACAAGATTGGTGATGTGGTCAGCATCACACCGGCCGCCGTTACTTCACAGAACTGCACCCGGCACCCACTCAAGGCTAGGTAGACCTGGCAGCCAAGGTCGTTTTTACAAAAAATCCGGCTCCGCCAGGGAGCGAACCCACGACCTTCCGATCCGCACGCGAGCGTCAAGCCGTTACGCCACTGCGACTCCCCCTGTACTGAAAGGTGAGGTATTTTGACCATTATAAACGCCGGTGTCTTAGAGAGAGCGGTGATGGGAGGTATAGTTCCCGGAGACAAACCTGCGTGAAGGTGGGGGTACAAAATATTAAAGGCGCATTGGCTATGAACGCACACATGGTTTGAGTCAACGCCGTCTCTAATTAATAGTGAAGGCCATGGTTTGAGTATTGGTCAGAGGAAGAAAGATCGACCTTCAGGCCTGCCGTGACGCTCATCCACATCAGGACCTCACACCCGGTGACAAACAACCGCAGACAGGTCACATAAACTCTGTTTAATCCATAAGTTGGGTTATATTAGGGCCCCTGGCAACAGGCTATTTTGTGGCTTTAAAACAACAACAAAACTGCATCCGACTTTGAGACACAGGCTTTGTAGATTTTATAAAACCTGCCGTGACGAGAGAGCCGTTGTCCTAAATGACTGCTCATTGATGATAGTTAAAGGCGGTGAAGAAGTCAACTGACCTCTCCCTACTCTGTCGTGACCGGCAATATTTGAATTCACATCGCACTCCAAAAACGGTAGCTGCTATGGGAATGCCCACGCCTTTTTAGAGTAATCACAGAGCTTTTATGAAAATGAATGTATTCTTACAGTGTGTTTTCATTTCAGCCTTGTTCTTATCAACCAAGAAATCCACATGGTTAATGAAATCCAGGGATATAATAACAGCACAAGGTTTTTCTCTGTGTTCTCTGATGACGCATGTAAGGTACAGTGGACACTTTGAAATCGTCATCAGATTTTGGTTAACGTTAGATGTAGTCAATGCTAGAGTGTGGTCTCCAGGTATGATGTCGGCCTTGAGTGCTGGAGGTCCAGGGTTCAAGCCTAGGTGAAGGCTGGGATTTTTTTCATGTGGACTTCTAGTAATTTCCCTAGGTCTCTGGGTAGTAAGATCGGATGCCAGTGTGTATTCTTGCCCACGTAAAACATCATTAGGCAGTTGGAAATTAAAAAAAAAAGAGTAGCTTAATCGCACTGCCGGGGCAAAATTTAGAGTTATAAATCTACGCAAAGTATTTTAGGATCTTCGCCGGAACAACGGAGTTCTTGCACTGAGCTGAAATTTTTCAGACCCAGGCTTGAGTTAGAAGTAGAACAGAGCACTTATGGGTTACGTCTGTGTGCCATGATGTTAATCCGTCGAATAAACATAAGAATAAACATAATTTTTAGATCCAGTACCCCCTATTCTGAATACAAATTAATAAGCAAGTTTATGTTAACGAGGTTTCATCTTATTTATGTTTTCCTCAGTTATCAATTTATCACATTAGCAAGATGATTAAAAAAGCTCATGAGGACGTTGTTAAGGAGAATAAAAATAGATCAACTGCATCCCATATAAGCATGTCGTAAGAGTCGAGTAACTAGGGTTTTTTCGTCGAAGTAGGACTGCATCTGCATGAGAGACAAGGAATCAGCAGTCTGCATACAAATGGGTCAGATCTGTAATGCGGATTCTCAGCAACACTCAGGTTCTGGAACAAGACTAAAGTCCAAGGGCGGATGTTTACAACCGGTGAATGCGAGGAATAAGACGATTAAAGAAACGTCTGCTTTTTCCCCCATCAACATGTTAACTTAAGTTCAGACCCATTGTTCACTACCAGGTATTTTCAAGTCATTAAAGGATTTATTAATGTGTAGAGAAGACATGTCAGAAAGCAGGCCTCACATCGCCTTAAGCTGGCTAAAATTTCATTTGTTTTTAACCCTCGATTTTATTATTACTACAATTTTTTTTACCCTTCAGATTCCACATCATCTTAAAAATGACTATTACTCCTTTAGCTTACAGAGTAAAGAAACTCAACAAAGAGGGGCGAGTGTTTCTAGAAGAATGAGAATTGCAGTATGTATACCAAACGATGAATGGAAAGATACATTGTTTAATTTGCAACAACAGCATTGCAACCTAAAAGATATTATGAAACGAACCATCCATCTCACGATAAAAATAAATGCCTAGTGTGTCAAGACTCAAGGAATTAAAAGCTACCTGGGGCAGCAACAGACCTGTTTTAAAAAACTTGAGAAAGGGAATGCCGGTTTCGTTACTACAGGCTATCGTCTTGGTCGAAAAATAAACATCAGTTACAAATCTTCGAATGAAGGAGATTCACTGCCCTGTAAACATGGCTGTCATTGTGTGTCCCGAGAAAGCGCACTTAGCCAAAGATATTTCATGAACATGGAACGCTGTTGCTGAATGATTTAAAACAATATTTGAGGGCAACATCATCAAGAATTTTCTATTGATGTTGATGAGGCTGGTGATATCAATGATGTAGCACCCAAATTCATCATGTTCACTGAATTATCAATCAGAAGATTTGTTTTTATCGATTTTTAAATGTGATCATGTGCTTAGATTAGTTACAAAGACAGTTAACTATATCTCTATTTGGTGAGATTAACGTGAACCTAACCAGTGACTTAAATAACTTGTCGAGTGCTGCCCTCATCACAATATAGATGTGGCCCAGGCAGCCTTTGGGGCACCCTCAGATTAACATGCCTGCTGTAGAGTTTTTAAGTGTAAATAATGCGTCAGTTTGATACATAGAGAGGCAGAAAAATAAACAAGTTGTGAAACTGGCTAACCGAAATAAAAAGGTTTAAAACCTCACACACGTAAAAATCTTGACAATGTGTAAACAAGCCATTGATGAGAATCCTCGTAAAAAAAAAAAAAAAAATCCTATTACGAGGTAATGAATACACGCGAAAAACCGTTAACTACTGTAATCTAAGAAGATCGTTGAATTCTGGGTTTCATGACAGCACTCGAAATGTAATTTTAGAAACCAGAAAGTAAAATTTACCCACCCTTCTCCTTTGATTTTAACAACGGTATGAGCGTCGCGTTGTTTAAAGCAATGACAACTCACTGAATGTAAAACTTTAGTTAAACCACACAAAAATAGCAGGGAAAACTTTTCTTAGCTGAGAAATAATAGGTAAAAATGTCAGTCGTTAAATGAAACGAAAGCTTTGAAACAGGAAAATAGCACACATTTGAATAAATAGACAAGAAAATTGTCAAATCGTCTAAATCCCGTGAAATATACGCTACCTTTATGTACTGTAGTGACACTAGTGCTTGATAGCTTTGCGACAGTACAGAAAATAACATATTTTTCAACCATTATAAAAGTCTATTATAAAATCAAAAGCGTTACCTTCCATCCTCACCCACCCCACATCGCATTCTTTCGTTACTTTGTTGTACCATTATCTTGCAACATTTGTTGCAGATCTTTTCTGGGTCCTCCTTTCTTGCTCCATACAATTATGTTCTATTACATTGTATGTTTTGTGAATCTGTATGCGATTTTTCTACGAATCTTCCCAGTATATCACTATCTTCTTGTATGAATAACTGCCCATATAAGAGATCTAAAGCGTTATGTGTAAACAGCTTGAATTCAGTGTGTATATATCTTGATTTGTTAAAATAATGTCTTCTTCTTCTTCTTCTTCTTCTTCTTCTTCTTCTTCTTCTTCATCTTCTTCTTCTTCTTCTTCTTCTTCTTCTTCTTCTTCTTCTTCTTCTTCTTCTTCTTCTTCTTCTTCTTCTTCTTCTTCTTCTTCTTCTTCTTCTTCTTCTTCTTCTTCTTCTTCTTCTTCTTCTTCTTCTTCTTCTTCTTCTTCTTCTTCTTCTTCTTCTTCTTCTTCTTCTTCTTCTTCTTCTTCTTCTTCTTCTTCTTCTTCTTCTTCTTCTTCTTCTTCTTCTTCTTCTTCTTCTTCTTCTTCTTCTTCTTCTTCTTCTTCTTCTTCTTCTTCTTCTTCTTCTTCTTCTTCTTCTTCTTCTTCTTCTTCTTCTTCTTCTTCTTCTTCTTCTTCTTCTTCTTCTTCTTCTTTTCTTCTTCTTCTTCTTCTTCTTCTTCTTCTTCTTCTTCTTCTTCTTCTTCTTCTTCTTCTTCTTCTTCTTCTTCTTCTTCTTCTTCTTCTTCTTCTTCTTCTTCTTCTTCTTCTTCTTCTTCTTCTTCTTCTTCTTCTTCTTCTTCTTCTTCTTCTTCTTCTTCTTCTTCTTCTTCTTCTTCTTCTTCTTCTTCTTCTTCTTCTTCTTCTTCTTCTTTTTCTTCTTCTTCTTCTTCTTCTTCTTCTTCTTCTTTTGTTCGCTTGAAATAGATTATCTACATCTGCACCGTTTTCTCTAGTATGAATTTTACTGTCTTTTGTAATTCATTCAGCGAGCCGTAAAGTTTGACTCCCGCCAGTTTCTCTTTTGTGGAAATTATGTAGAAGAAGGCTTTATAGCCGCAACGTTCACGTTTTTTTTTTGTGTTTGTTGTATGGTGAAGCTTGCTGATATACTTTTCGTTTGGTTTTATGTCTTTCCTTAAAATGTAAATTATAATCCCATTTAGTGCCAAGTAAACCTACGTGGTTTTACCTGATAACTTTTAGTGTAAACAAGCCGTTGATTAGAATCCTCGTACCAGGTAATGAATATACGCGAAAAACCGTGAACTTCTGTAATCTGAGAAGATTGTTGAAATTACAGTCTGGTGAGATTGATGTGGGGGGGGGGGGGGGGAGTGGCGAGAGGTTTTGGTAGATACTCGAGGCTCAGAGGAAAGGAAAGACGGACGTTTAATCAGAATGCTTCTGGCACAATTAGTTTCGGAACTCTTCGCTGGTTGCTGAAGATGGGGACGGAACGCTTATGGAAATGCCCTGAGTGCTGTGATGTCGGTTCTTGGCTCAAATCAAGTATAATCAAAATTTCTAGTGGTTAAAGCTATCACTCGTCCCCACATGGGATGCCATTTTTCGTTATTTTAAAACCCCACCCTGGCTTTTGCCAGGGGCCCTAAAAATAGCATGGCCATAAATATGGCCTAACGGTTGAACGGAGCTTCTGGGACCTCTTCACGTGTGATCCTTATCCGCATTGTGGCACTTTGTGTCACCGGGTGTTTATCGCTCTGTGTGATGTCCTGGTGGGGTACTACATACATACAAACATACCTACCTTCCAACGAACATGACATACTTGTAACCTATATTCTTAAAAATAATTTGAAATGGAAATGAGATTTCTGAGAACGGGTGAGAGAGTGACAAGAACGGTTATCAAAAGTAATGTTTTAAGAGAATGAAATTGAGGAGGCGGGGAAGGGCAGATTCCTTTTTTACATACAAACCCCGCAAATTAAAGTTTTGCGCACTCAGAGAGAATATGTTGTGACGCTAATCAAAACAAAGCAAAAGAGCAGTAGGAAGAAAGAGAAAACGACGGAGAAAAGCAAGGAAGGATCACCCATAGAAGATGAAGAAGTGAACTATTATGTGCACAAGACGTAGTAAAAGAATGGACTTTTTAGTTGCAAAGAAAGTCTAGCTGTATAACTTCTTCTTCTTCTTTGTGTTAACCAGCTTTAAACTCTGGTGGAAAGATATGGTTGTTTGTCCACTTCTGGACTGCAGTCCTGTTCCAGAACCTGAGTGTTGCGTGTACATCCGTTTGACAGACCCAACACATTTTATGCAGACTGTTGGTTCCTTGCCTTTCAGGCAAATGCACTCTGACTTCGAAGATAGTTCCCAACTAGTCGACTTTTTCGACATGCTTTTGGGAAGGCCGTGGGTCTGTTCTTGTTTTCCCTATAATAGGGCCCCGGAACCCACACGGGAAATGGGGGGTTGGGGGGGGGGGGAGCTGTTTAACTGTTCTCTAACATGTGGGTATTGTCTAGT